GCCCCCCCCGGACAGGAAAAATAATGTGATTTCAAATGATCCTTATGTCTTCAGTGCAGCACCTGAAGAGAAGCCTATGATGGGCCCAGATCTGGTGACTCATAATACATGTCTTTTGCTGGGCAGTCTTGTGTCTTGACCACTCTACTGTTCCTGCAGGCAGTACTCCTCTTGTTGAAGAGGGAAGCTTCCAATGGTAGAATTCCAATGTTCCCTTTCACTGGGCTTATACTTAGCTGCCTCTCAATGTGTGCAGAGCTTACTGTGGCCTATGTAAGGCTCCTGTATTAAAATTTCCCTGCTACTTTGATAGGTCCTTTTATCCTTTTCAAAGCAACCTGCCTGAATTCCCGCCCCTTGTTTTACTAAGATTGTCAGCTCTGTTCAGCTTCCACTGCTGCGTTTCCTGGCATTTTTACACATCTATATGTGACACTGTAAACAAAATTGTTGTTTTGCTGTATCTTTTACCCTTCACGGGATGCCTAGACTTAGTTTTGTTTCTAAGCCAGTTTGGTGTAGTGGTTAAGTGCGCGGATTCTAATCTGGGAGAACCGGGTTTGATTCCCCACTTCTCCACTTGCACCTGGCTGGATGACCTTGGAGTTAAAAAGAGGCACTGTAATCACGTTTTAACTGATTAGCAGACACCAGTTCCCTGGTATTCTGATTGGAGATCTGGGCTACCTGGCATGGCCCCACAATATGACATTCTAGGCCCTGACCTTTATGCTTTATTCCTGACAATAACCCTGTTGTTGAGGAATGCAATTCTAATCCCTGACAAAGACAACCTGCTTTTATGCCTTTTTTTCTCTGCCTATATTGCTGCACAGATTGCTCTGCAGACTACACAAGTTTTTTTCCTTTGTGGCGTATTGTGTCCATCCTTTCTTTAGCCACATCATACCTCTTTTTACTGCCTTCATTACCGTCGTGCGGACCTGCTTACTCTCACTCCTGCTGATAAATTAATACTTTGATCATCTCCTTTCCTGCATTGTAGCAGTAGCGTCCCAGTTTTCTGAGTGGCAAACACCACTCTTGTAGTACCAGACCTTGCACCTCTAAGTGGGCAGGAGAGTCTCTACAGAAACTGCAGTAAGGTTTGGACCCTGCTTCTTGTGCTGTTGAATGTTTACAAACCAAACTTTTCCTTGTTGGGTTACTAAGCATGGTTTTTTGGCACTTGCATGGTGCTTCATTTATAATAGGGTTCTAACTTATACCCTCTCCATGCATGAAGTTTCAAAAGGTGATGTCCTGCTGGAATCCCCTACCAAGGGTTGTCTCTCACTTCTCATGTAATGCACAGTCAGCGTCCTCACCGGAGGCTTCACCGGTTGGAAGTTCCAGCCCCCCGAACGGCGAGGTTGGCCTGTACTAGATCTAGGGCGTTTTCGGTGGCGGCTCCTTCCTAGTGGAATGAGCTCCCGGAGGAGATCCGGGCCCTGCGGGACCTAGTGCAGTTCCGCAGGGCCTGCAAGACGGAGCTCTTCCACCAGGCCTTCGGGTAGGAGCCGCCGCCACCACCATCGCTATACCATCTTGATGTGCCGTCCTCCTACCAGATTCCATGGAGCGCTGTGACGCTTTCACTGTTAAGTTGTGGGCCGCAAATATGAGCCGCCGAGCATCTTATATAATGTGTAGATCTGTATAGATTCGAAGCACCAGTTTTATTGTATATATAATTGTTTTATTGTTTTACTATTTTAAACATTGTTGTTAGCCGCCCTGAGCCACTGGGTAGGGCGGCATAGAAATCACAAAAATAAATAAATAAATAAACCCATCCTTGGGGGTTGGTTGACGCTGTCACACTGTTTTGAGTGCACAGCCCTTCATTACCACTCTATGTATGATGGCTCTTTTCAAAAGAGTGCTCTTTTTTCTTTGCCACATTCCCACATGTATTTTGGTGGTGACTGCTCTGCTATAAGAGAATTCTGGGTGAAGATCAATTTGTGCCGCTAAACAACTGTTGATAAAGCGGTCCTCTGTGGTCTCCTGAGAGCTTCACACTCACCTCCTTCATTCAGTGATCTTGCTAATCTTCCCATGTGGGACTGCACAGAAGCCACGACGATGAAAACAAGGTTGCACTTACCTGTAACTGTTGTTCATCAAATGGTCTTCTGTGCAGGCACACATCCCTTCCTCTTGCCACACTGTGAACTCTCTGGAACTTTAGTTCTCTAGGGGTCTCTGGCAGCGGCATGGAGAGAACTGAGGGAATAGCGCCCCTCCTCCTGGTCATGTGAACGTTTTGGCACGAAAGCGCCAGAGGGAGGAGGGTGCTCCTAGTCTATTAGAAAGCTTGGAAATCGTTTCCATGGCGGCCTGCGACTGTGCAGTCCCCCATGTGTGCCTGCACAGAAGACCACTCGATGAACAACAGTTACAGGTAAGTGCAACCTTGTTTTTGCATCCACCCTTACCTGGATGACCTGCTGATCAGGTCCAGTTCTTGACACAAGGCAAGAGAGGACACGGAGAAACCATCTAGTGCTTAAAAGCCCACGGATTCCTTGTTAACCTTTGCAAGAGCTCCTTAGAACCAACACAGAGGTTGGAACACCTGGGTGTACTCATAGACACCATGTCCAAGTGTGTCTTTCTCACAGACAAGGTGGTGAGGAAAACTAAGGATATGGCTGCATCAATAAAAAAGAACAGCTCCTCATCACTAATGACACTCACAGTGTTGATGGGCCTATTAATTTCAAGCATAGACATGATACAGTGGGGCAGATTTCATTCTAGGCATCTGCAACAGCTTTTGAGACCTTTACAAGCACAGATCTTAAGGAAGGAAGATTTATCAATCCACATTCCACTAAGGGTGAGGTCCAGTCTTCCTAGTGGACAAGGATGTCCAACCTTCTGCTGGGCAAGAGATATTGTATCCCATAAATAAAACAGATATTCACAGATGCCAGTCCATCCGGATGGGGAGTGACACTGGACGAGGATCCAGTACAGGGTCAGTGGAGCAAGAAAAAAGCAACCGTACCAGTCACCCTGCTAGAGCTTCATGCCATCTGTCTAGCTCTTCTCCATTTGGCAACCAAAATAGCTCAGTCTCATGTTTTGATGAGAACAGACAACATAGTGGCAAAAACCTCAACAAATGGGTTCCAGGTCCACAGCAGTTCTCGGGGAAGTGGCCAGGATCCTAACGTGGGCAGAGAAGAACCTGTCCTCTATCATGGCAGAACACATCAAGGGAATGGCAAATACCAAGCAGACTCACTCAGCAGGCAGGCAGTCCAAGGAGAATGGTCCCTCAAGAAGGAACTGTTCAACCTAATATCGATCCACTTTGGCCGCCCCATTGGTGGATCTCTTTGCATCCTCAATGAACCATCGGACAGATCGATTCTTCACCAGGTCTCATCATCCTGAGGCCAAAGGAATAGATGCCTTAAAATTAAACTGGCTGAGAGGTCTGCTATACGCCTTCCCAGTACTACCAAAACTGATCTGAAAGAGCAAGGAACAATAGGCAGAGGTCATTCTACTGGCTCCCTTTTGGCCTCATTGC